TATATATATATATATGCCAACAGAGTGGAATTCCATAAACACCTAAAATTGAAACTGCTAATTCTACTGTTATGCATCAAAGAAAATACAGCAATATTGTACTGCAAACCAAAGCTATCAGTGGTGATTACATTTCATAATATTTTTCACCACTGATAATAATAGACATCTGACAGTATCATATTAAATGTAGCAATTCCTGCTGGAATTTCACAGGTGGTGTGGAGCTGCACAGGTTTTTGAAAGTTTTGGCATGTTTTTTGAAACTAGGACAAATTTATATTCAAATCAAGCAATGTGATTTAATTAAACTCCATTTTTTATTTTTAGAGAATCTAAAAGGAAATACAAGAAAAAAAGACAATGTGGATAGTTATCCATGTTTAAGTTTATAAAGTCTTCAAACATTTTCATTACATTATAGCATTTACATAATGGGGGTACAAAATAACTTGCCCAAATAGATGACTTTCCACTCTCCTTTGCCTGACGTTTCTGAACAAATCCTCCTGTTTTCGTTAGAACAGAGTGTAACAGGAAGAGTATATTTTACTTAATAGATAACTTGCAGACACGCCTAAGATTAAGTAGTGTCCTGGAAGATGTAAACTTTGCTGAAGAGGGACTTCCATGGCAAGTCTTGGCACTGCTGGAGTCCAAAGGGATTTTGCATGCCATATACATGCTACTTTTCTCTCACATGGATCTCTCAATGCTTGTAGCAACTGCAAGACCAGCACTCACGATTCCCAATAGCAGTCTTGGAGTGCATATATAAGAAACGACTGATAATGAAAATATTTCCCTTTGATTTTTCCAGGCAGCTAAGTTCTATAGTAGGAGAAAAGGATATGGCCATTTCCTGAGAGCATTCTGCTTTGAAAGGCAACAAGGAAATAAAATTGGAATGGCAGCAGGTACTGACTACATAAAAATATATACAGAAGAACCTTAGCGCCACCTTACCTGTGGTTAAATTTATGACCAAAGGAAACCCAGTCTTTTTCAATTAACACCTAAAATAAGAATATTGCATTCAGTGTTGTGGAGCAGAGGTGACACATGTTGAAGCAGGCAGAAGAGTGGTGTAAACAAGCAGTATTGGAATCCCAGTTAATTCTTAGAATAATGGAATGATGTAAGCAAGCAGTATTAGAATCCCAGATAATTTTTAGAATAAGCAGAAAAATAATGAACAATGCACACCACTGAGAACTCAAAGTAGCACTCTTCATGGATACAGATAGGATGCCAATATTTCAACACAACTTTAATTAGCTTGATTCATCATTTTCTAAAATAGAACCTAAAAATATTTCAAATCTCTTTTAATGCGTGACCAGTAACTTGATAAGCATTCTTAGATGCTGTACCAGTGCTGGTTTGCTTGGAAAAGGAACAGATTTTCCAACATAGCTGCTCTTTGCAATCTAACATCTAGGAAGCACAACACTTCTGACACTCAAAACTTCACTGATCCCTGAAAATGAATACAAACTCTTGCTTGCACAAAAGCTCCTGGGGCTGCAAGAAAGTTTCTTGGTTAAGGTTAGGAAAAAAATAAATGGGTACCCAACTGATCTCCACCTTTGATAACATTTCATACAGAAACCAGGAGACTGTAACTTGGACAGCTAATAACCTTCCCTCCTACTTAAAAAAAAAAAAAAAGGCATATTTAAGGAAAGTTTATTGTCCATTAAAACCAAAGATATTAATCTCATAACATTTCTGTTTACTCTGTGAAAGAGAGCCTGCTTACCATGAATCCCTTCATAGTTCTGTAATATGGATCCAATAGAAGGCTTGCTACAGAGCAAACCTGGGCTGTCCTATCCCAGCCATCAGAGCAGTGAACAAGCACACTCACACCTTCCTCAGCCACAGCCTAAGGATACAGAAAAAGTCAGAGAGATTTCACAAGCAGGGGGAAAGGCAGTGGTAAGAGAGGAACAGTGAGAGAGCGCAATATAGAGAATATTAATTTGGGAACTGGAAAGCCTTGTTCATTTTTTTATTCTGCCACAGTTCTTGAATTATGTTGCATGTTATTCCTGTCATTTGAAAGTCTTAATCTCATCCCATCCTATTCAATATGATGGTTGCAGCATCACCTGTTTATGCTCCACTACAGGAGGATGTGGGATTCATTTCAATTAAAATACGTCTGTCTGTCAGAGCAGACAACTACCTAAAGCAAATTTAGACGCTGCTAATGCTCTAATTCACGTACCAGCAACAGAGCGGCCATATTTGCAATATGGCTCTTAATTTCCTTTCTTGACGGTAATGTCAATAACAGTAATGTCTGCTTCCGATGCCAGCGCTAGCATGGATATTATTACAGCATACTGCACACCGATGACGTACTTCTAAAGGTTTGTGGGGAAGCCTGTGGTAGTGGTAAACTTCCATATCTAATAAGCAAGATTGCATCACTATCTGTAATGTAAATAACTGGGGAGAGAGGATCCCATTTTATACATAAACACACAAAGAAGAGATCATACTAAGTTGTCCAAAGTCTGGTGTTGCATTATTTTTTGGAACTTGAGGGGTTTTTTTAAATGCTAACTAAGGGTTTTGGCCTTTGTCATTTCTAAAGAGAACTAAATTTATAAAGTAGAGAAATAAAATAGGTTAGGAAAGATATTTCTTAGAAAAACAAACACTTAAGTTTGGGCTTAATAGGGAACGAGGAATAATAATAAATTATCTATGTTTATCTCAAGAGACAAGTAAGTTCTACCAAAATAGAACCCCTGTGGGCAGGAGACCAACAACTGAGAACTGGGAACCGTACAGATAAGAGCGGGTGAAAATGCATGTCTGAGGAGGCACAAGGCTAGCAAGCATATGGACAAAGGACAAATTTTTTTGGACAATATTTTAAGACAAGCCACTGGGGAGAAGTTGGCAAGAGCTAATGTAAATGACCTGATTTATATAAGCTAATGAAAGCTAGTAGGGCTGGGAGAAATAATAACGTGCATTTATCCCACAGCTGCTGTTCAGGTAAGAAACTACAGTTGCCTTCTGAGCAGGAAGAAGCAAAACAAGAGAAACAAGCAGTTACTGAGGAGGGAAACCGATGAAGTTTTATCCAAGTCGTATGTAGCAGGTCATGTGAATAAAATGGCCTATAAGAAATTATAATAGTAATCTCAAAAATAAGAATTGGAACAGTAAAAGGCAGAGCACAAGGAAGGGGGTAATAAAATTAAAACTACCGTTGGTAGATGACAAATACCTGCATTACTTTGGATGGGATTAGGAGAAATAATTTCTTATCAAAGCCAACAACTGTTGTCTGAAACAGTTCTCAAGTACGTAAGAGTAGAAACTGCTAGAGAGTTTGGCCAGGGTAATACACAGGAGTTGGTTCAGGAGGTGAATTTAGTTAGTCACAAAATAACTCAGAAGAGATAACGCATTAGCTAATATTCCTATATTACAGCTAACATGTGAAGAAGTAATCCTAAACCAGAAACCTTCAATAAAGAAGATGTCCAGAAACCAGTGGAGAAGGCAGGGGAAATAGGGACAAGAAACAGTGACAATCTCTGCTGGGGAGTAAAGTAAGGACATTCAAATACCTGGCATAACAAGATACAGGTTAGCAGAGGCTTTAGTACATTTGAATTCTCTGGTGAA